GGTGGAGCAGCCTGGTGGTCACGTGACGTTGTTACGGGTATATTACTAATTTGAGTGTAGGTTATTTTATTAGTTTGCTCTGCTCTACAGATCTGCTAACTCTTTTCATATCACTGGCAGAGGCTGGACAATTTCGCCATTACTTTTTTGTAGTTTTAATGATACTCTAAATGAAGAAAATTTCACTTGAATCTGCATCTGGCTCATCTGTCATTCCCTTGAAAAGGGACGTTATGTAACATGTATATACAGAGGATCCCTAGTATGAAGCACATGATTGTATAATTAGTGTGATAATGAGTTAATGCCATTTCTCCCTTACCTGTAGAACTAACTAACTATGACTTTTCGACGTTGCATGTGTTTAATTTTTATTGCTATTAGGTTGAATGACAGTTTAATTGCTGCATACAATTAATTAGAGTGCAGTGCCACAAACGGACAGGAAACCCACACATAAAGGAACTCATCCATCAGAAAATCGTTGCTTTGTGTTTCTGCTGTTATGGAAGTATCTCTGCTTTTAATTTACCCACAAAAATGGGCTTATGTTTCACGCAGTTGGCTGAACAATGCCATGGGATGTTTGCCTACTATGATGCTTTCAAGGGCTCCAAGTTCAGACTTTATCAAATAAAATAAGATGTGAGCTTTTATTTCCATTAATAAATACCATAGGGGATGTTTCTGTTCATAGTGTTTTGTGTTTAATTGTAAAATGAGTGGAAGGATGTGAAAAATAAATTATGTTTCAGTCAAAAACTTCGGGCGAGCTTTTGTATTTAAGTAACAAACAAAGTATTTCTTTGTTGCTCAAATGAGAACAAAGTAAAGATGTTTGGCCATAATCCACAGCACCATGTTTTGGTGAAAACCAAACACAGCATGTCAGCATAACTGTCAAGCACAGTGATGGAGGGACGATGTTTAGGCTTGTTTTGCAACAACAGGACCTTGGTAACTTTAAGACATTGAGTTAACCATGAACTCAAAGCTTGGCTTAAAATGGTTCATGCAACAAGAAATTGACTTATTATTTTAACATCTTCTGATAATCCGAGGAATTCGGAATTCTATGTTAATGGGGAAAAAAATCCAAGAATTGCAGTCAAACATTTGGAGAGTAACCCCACCAAAACAGCTTTGGGAAATATATGACTAATCCTAAAACCAAAACTGTCATTCATTGAGCTTCTTTCTTTATTGAAAGCACCACTGAGTTGTTAGTAAAGTGCATTGTACCCCTTACAGGACTGCTGTATAACAATTTTCACAATATAATTGTGCTGCATGCACCATAGCCAGCCAACCGAACATCTGAAAATACTGTTAAGCAAACAACACGCATAACAGGAAATCTCCTACATCTCCTATATCCTATATATAGAGAGAAACTATGCCTCCCTATTTTTCCATACAAAAACATTCTGAACTCATTACTAATTGTGTCAAACTTTTTTTGCATGACAGCATTATCATTTTTTGTTTTTATAAAAGTCATGTTCACAAACAACCAAAGAAAATGTGAGTTACAAAGATGTTATTGCACTTGTGTAATATCCAACAACATCATTACTGAACATAAAAAAGTCCCATACTTGGATACACATGTTTGTACAGAGCAGAGTTTTGTAACTCAGTCAACATCAAAGGTTACAGTACCACAACACAACAGGTTGCACTCAACACACAACACGCCATGTTATTACTTCAGTAAATGAGACCTCCCATGATTATTCTGAAAATAAATAAATATGGATTTTAGTTTGCACTTAGTCTTGGGATATGGTATCAGAGTTTTTATTGAAGTCCCAAATCCCAATAAAATGTATTGACCTTTTTAATGCATTACGGGATTCCAGTATTGCAGTTTCCAACATGACTCAATTTTGGGAGGAGAATGCTGAAGAGGATGAGGAGGGGAGTATTAGAATATTGTCCGGCTCCTAGTTGGCTCAGAAACTGCTCACAGGGTGGTTTGTAAATTATTTGTAGAGATACTTGGCTGTCTCAAGCAAACATCTCAGTCACTGTGTGGAAAGATTCTACAGGAAACCTGGTATCTGCAATTGTAAATGCATGTAATGCATCAGTAAATCTTGACATACATGGTGGAGACAACCCACATGAATTTTTCAGCTTTGCAAGTTTGAAGAGTAGGAACCAGTTGTCGGGTCCGTGGCTGTCTTTCCCCCCCCTTTTCTCTCCATGTCACTCTAATTAGTCAGAGGCATGCGAAATTTCAACAGGATTAGGATTGCTTCCTAAACGTATGCCTGTTTTTTACATTATGGATGAAGGTGAGAATTTGCTCTTCAGTACACATGCACATGTAATTAATCAATAATTGAATAATGTCGTAATGGTGGCAACAGTCTGTTGGAGCTCTTTACAAAAAATTTACAGGGAAGCTCATTAGACCAACATTCAACATAATGTTTAAATAATCTGACAACAGTAAAAAAAAAAAGGAAAAAAAAAGATGCAAACATAACCTAGGTCAAATTCAAATTCAGATTTTATTTGTCACATACACCATCATACACAGTATGACATGCAATGAAATGCTTGTTGCTGTGCAATGTCCAACCATAAAACTACAGTAAAAATTTACAAAAAAACAGCAATAATAGTTACATAATAGATTTTAAAAAATGAACATCAAAGAAAGGTCTAAAAGATATAAGGAATAAATTAAGAATTTAGCCTAAGAAGTAAAGTCTGGACTAAGAATTAGAGTTAAATTTTAAAATAAAGTGTGCAAATAAACAGTGTGCAAAGGTCAAGACAGAAAGTTGTTTTCCCGTTTACTTCTATACTATAGGAATAAAGTCTTTTTTAGAACTACAGCTATCGCCATCTGGTGGCCTTCAGATAGAATAGAGATTTAAGGCACTTTCACATTGGCTAAATTTTTCCAACCTGACTGCTTTATCCATGTTTTGTGAGTGTTTTCTCATATAGCAAAATAAGTATATGTGCTTGCAGAGTAATGCTTGTTACATTGCAAGTAAATTGTATAAATTAGCATTAATAGCTTGACAGTGCAGTTGCAGTTTTCATCAGTTAACAAAAAAAGTATTGTTACCTCCAAATGTTTCCATTAGACAGACCATGTTTATTTTAGAAACAATGCTCAGATCAAGCAGACTCTTTCTTTATTAGGTGTTAATGGTGTAAGGGCTAAGTTCTATGCTTTTAATCATTTAATCATCATTATTATCAGCTTCATTTACCACTGTCTTGCTTATTCCTTTTCCTCTTTTTTCACTCCCAGAAGGACAACTCCTCTTCATTTTTGCTGAGTGGTTTTTGGTTTTCTTGGTTTTCTTCTTGCTTGATGGGACCAAACCACTTCTGATATGTTCTACCTTAGTATTTAAAATTGAAAAAACACTGAATTACATTTTTATTTTATAGCAATCTTCCCTGGGTAATTTCCTGTTTACTTGCACTATTGTCATATAGAAGAGGAGGATTCAAAACCTGGACTGGATTTTCCAACAACTAATTTACCATGATTTCCAAAGAAGGAAGCACACAAATGATGTTGCTCCTCTCTGTGCTGAACTTATTAACATTGTGTGTCTCTAATGAACTGGATCTATGAATTATGTGCAGTGATATTTAATTCTATTGCATGCCATGGATCATGCACATCCAATGGGACTCATGGGATTAAGTCTTTAGCTGTGCCCATATTCTTCTACTTTGTGGATTTTTAGTTTTCCTTAAACAGACCCAGTGATTTTATCCTTATTGTTTTATCTGGGACTGTTTGCAAACATCTCAGAGAGAGGAGACACCAGCATCTGAACAGAGACTCAAACCA